AACAAAAAAATGATTAGTAGTCGATACAAGATTAAAATGCTGTCAGTTAATTTTTTTACAATGCTTTTTTTTTGGTTTGAAATATAACCATCGGTTATTTGTGAGCCAGTTAGTGCGTTAGCTTTTAGAATGCAGCTAACTATTTTGATCAGTAGGAATGCTTAAACTGGTGTTGTCTTCGAAGAGAAGTTTGTCGGAATCTAACGTTTCATCAAAATTTTATGCCAGTGAAAAACAAGACATATTTCAACTAGCTATTTTCGCACGCGGACATAGTTTCGTACCTCTAAACCTTAAAATCTCTTTGGTAGTCTGAATAACGGTGTATCAAAACTGTGAAGAGAACTTACCTGATGATCAGTCATGTCAACGATACAAGATTAAAATGCTGTCAGTTAATTTTTTTACAATGTTTTTTTTTTTTTGTTTGAAATATAACCATCGGTTATTTGTGAGCCAGTTACTGCGTTAGTTTTTAGAATGTAGCTAAATTTATCAGCGTCACCGAAATCCACACAGGTATGTGATCAACGGGAAAAAAAGAACAAAAGAAAATACATAAAAAACTGGTACATATCGATGTTCATGTTCATTTGAACACGACTCATTCACGGTAGTGTTAGACCGATTAGTTACCATTCTACCAAGGAGAACAGTCAGGTAATCTGGGATCGAATGACATCAAAGTGGTCAGTCGAGTGTGCGCAGGCTCGCGTGTGAAGAAATTGAGACTGATCGAGACCGTGTTATTAGTAATGATTCGGAATAAATTGTTCACAGTATTTTGCAGGCTTTGATTTATAACGATCAAGATGTTTGAAATGACTTAAGGGAAAGGAAATAAAACAATCGACATGGCCTCGGTCAAGGTAGCAGTAAGAGTGAGGCCCCTTAATAAAAGGTAAGTCAAAATGAAGCAATTGATTCGGCCGTTCTAGCAGAACGCCGGTTGAAAATTCTCGGTGATCGATGTCTGGCGTTTAAATATCTGTAAAATGTATCCGTTGGTAATTTCAGGGAGCGAGACATGGATGCCAAAGTTTGTATCCAAATGGAAGGCAAGAAGACGACAATCACAAACCCTGGTGTAAGTGAAATCTCATGTTTTCTCGTCGCTGTACGTAGGAGGTTATTTTACTGCAGTTGTGGTTGTTCCAAATTATTCGACGAAGAAATTGAATTTCAGCTTCTTTGATTTCAGAGCGAAGACAAAGATTTTACATACGATTTCTCTTACTGGTCTGCAGATAGTTCAGACCGTCACTTCGCTTCACAGGAACAGGTAAAAATATTCTATTCGTCCAATTCATAATATAATTGGAACCCGATCGGGCCGAAGGAAATTTACGTGCGAAGTCCTTCGAACGTCATTCTGCATACATAATGAAATATTGAAAGATATTCACGTACATTTTCGATGAAATCGTCAACTTTTCGAAGTTTCTTTTCAAGTTAGACCGTAGCTAAGTGGTTGTTCATTTTTTATATTTGACCTCCAGTTGTTTGTTGCGCTAAATTACTTTATGGTTGTTCAGTTTTATTTGTGTGATTTTTGGATGTCTTACTGTTTTGCAAGTCAAATTAATTAAGAGAGAATGAAGCAATAGTTTTTCTTTTTTCCAAGGGTATCTTGACGGTTTATATTTATAGTAGTCAGTAAATGAACTTAAATAAAATAAATAGTAAAGAAAAGATGAATTTTATACAGTTTAAAATATGTTAAAATGTAATAATTTTTCACTTATAATCAAAAAGAAACCCAAGAGTAAATATATTTACGTACATATCAAGGCGATTCATTCTTTCTCTAAAATCTGATATCTTTGATACAAAAAAATAATTGAGTATGTCGCTGTTGACTATACTTATTGAAAACTGTGACTAAATTTAGACCCTAAGACTTAGATTTCAATATAACAGACTTCCTTACTTTGCATATCAGTGTGCTAAACAACAGAAACAAATTTGGTGAGCTGAAATACACAATGTCAATTTAAAATCTGATTATAAATGTTTTATGGGGTTAAACATTGATCCAACGAAAAATAAGTGGTATAGCTGAACTTTATTAGTATCTTCTTTAAAATGACCAGCATTAATTAGATTATGTGACACAGTTCCTAGACAGTCAGAATTCAATTAAAAAAAAGTGAAGTCAAGAGAGTTAAATGTGAAATTGAGTTTATTTCTGTACTGTACAAAGCGACAGAATTGAATTTTGTGGTTTTAGCTTGAGAGTATATTTACCCACACTTTTGATCAACTGGATAATACTTTTGTTTCAATAGAATAGTTGTTAGAATAGTTGTTAATGGTCCACACTCCAAATCTTTGGAAACAAGGTATTAATTATAGCTAAAATAGAAATATTTGCTTAAATTTACAAGTAGACTTTCTAGTATAAGTATTGAGGAGAAACCAACTTGTGATGTTTTTATGAGGATTTAGCTCTTTGAAAACTTAAGAAGTTTGAAATTTTAAGGGTAAAGTATTTTGGTGATATGATAGATATTACATAACTCAGTCACAAAAATCTTAAAAAAGCTTAAAATTTACATACTCTGTTATTCCTTCAGGTGTTTGAAGATTTGGGTACAGACGTGATACAGGCAGCGTTTGAAGGTTACAATGCCTGTATTTTTGCTTATGGTCAGACAGGGGCTGGTAAATCTTACAGTATGATGGGACAGGAGGTAACAAAACACAATTAACTATTTTTTTGCATTGAAGACCACTGGGACCATCATTAATTTGGTGTCCATAATAGCACTCTTTCATTATGCATTCTGATTGTCTAGGTGAGAGTTGATCCAACAAGGACTGTTGTTTGTGATTTTGACTGATGTTTTGATAACCTTAGTAAGTCATTATCTGAGTAGTTCTGTTATTGTTTTTGGCTAAGGTTGTTGAAAACTTAGTCTCTAGTACTGACAATAGTCCTTAAGATTGCATATACTTTCATGCAAATGATCAGATTACATATTAACAAAATGTTACTCTCTGGTTCAAACCATTTACTGTTCAAAGTAATAACAATAATCTGCCATTATCATGGTAGATGTTAAAGGTGAGCCAGTTTTTTATTGTTTAGTGTCATGTATAACATTTTTAAACTGCTGTCTTTTTTTATGATAGAGCAGTTCCTTTAACTCGTTGTTCACATGTACAAATGCTTCCAGTAGATTTCTTAACTTTGTGCAATATGGAGGTCAAAATTCTGCCACAGGCAGAGTTGTTTCCATACAGTTTTCAGTAGTTTTGGTGAGAGATTCACATGTGAATTAAAAAAATTGCATTTTGACTTGCAAATGACAATTATGCGTAGGCAAAAAAATTATCTCATTTGTGAACTGCAGTTGAAGAAACAGTGGAAAAAAAAGCCTGAAAAGTAAGGCTGTGACATGATTGAAACACCTGCTTCTCAGATACTAGTCCATTGATACTGTTAACCCTTTAACTACCATGAGTGACCAAGTCAGAATTTCTCCTACAATATCAGGACAATATCAGTACGTATCAGTACAATATCAGGACAATATCAGCACAATATTAGCACAATATCAGTACAATATCAGTACAATATCATGCAGACAAGTGATGAGAGTAAAGAAAAATATCAGTTAGAGGATTATTAGTTATTCCAATACCAAATTCTCCAAACTAACATCTCAAGAACTATGTGGCAGACAGTAAGGAGAATTACCAATGAGATCTTGGGAGTTAAAGGGTTAACAAAGATAATAAGCCACATATTAACTCTTAAACCCTTATGAGTGACCAAGGCAGAATTTCTCCTTAGAATATCAATGTAATATCAAGTTGGCAAGTGATGACAATGAAGAAAATATCAATTAGGGGATTTGCTTGTCGATCCAATACCAAACTCTCCATTCTTACATCATCAGAATTGTATAAGAAACAGTGAAGAGAATTATTGCCAATGAGACTTTGGAAGTGAAAGTTAAATGATGTCATCGTCAAATCAATGTTTAACTGAACTATGGCAATTGATTTTTGATAATATTATCTTTTTGTAGACTGCACCAGGATTGATACCAAGAATATGTCAGGTACTCTTAAGATTTTTGATAAGCTGAAAATTCAGAAACATTTGAAAATAACTGTACTTCAACTCTGCTTTTTAACATTGAGGTACAATTAGATTTCATATCCTTATAAATTGAATGGTCATTTACCAGTAATTAATATCCTATTTAATTTATGCAGTATGTATTTCATTAAAATGGCTATTTATTTTTCGGTGATATATTTGGTATCTGTGACAAATTATTAAATTCATTATTTATTACTCGTATTTATATGTTAATTTGAGGCAAGGGATTAATTCTTCACCCATTATTAATTATTAATTAATTAATCATTATTATTAATTATAAGTGTAAATTACATGAATTTATTTAACAGGGTCTGTACGCTCGCATGGAATCAAGTGGCGATGACAAGACTGAATTTAGGACTGAAGTTAGGTAAGTGTTTCCATGTTTTTGTTGTGGTCATCAAACTTACAATTCTTCTGTGTTATTTTTTGAGAAAATATCATTCGTCAAGTCTAATGAATATTTTCTTTGTTTGTTAGTTACCTGGAGATTTACAATGAAAGAGTTGGTGATCTCCTTCGACCGGCTAAAGGAAGAGAGAAATTCAATCTCAAAGTGAGAGAGCATCCAAAGGAAGGTCCATATGTACAAGGTATGTTAAAGGACTGAATTTACTTTAGAGAATAAACCCAATAGTCTGTAATGAGTATGGTGGTAAAACTGGTCTGTTTACCTATCATGCTCTAAATAGAACAAGAAAGATAGGAAAGAAAAAAGGAAGCTGGTGCATGTAATTTTTGAGCTTGGTAGTGGATTAAAGAAAGATGTCTTTGTATGATTATGATTGCAGTTTGGTAGTAATAAGTACAAGTAAATTCTTCAAATGCAACAAAATTGAATGAGCCCATAGGGTGAGAGCAACTTGTGGTCTTTGAAAAATTTATAATTTATATTTATTTATATTTTCTTGCACCAGAAATCATCTCGTTACTTGTTGATAATTTATGTGAAAAAAGTATCACAGAAAGTCAAGACAGATGAAATTTTGACAGCATGCACATGCTAATTGTAATTTCCACTTGTGTTACAACTTTGCACTTGTGTGACAACTTTGCTCTCATGTTACACAAAAAATGGACTGGTTTTCAGCCAATCAGATTCATGTAATTTGTTGAAGATGTATATTATTGGTCTTGTTATGAGGGTGGGCCAAACTTTAAAAAATCTGAGGCTCCATGAGGAAGTGGCCCCTTGGCCTTTGGATTCCATGCTCTAATGCTCGACCACTGGGCGTCAGAGCACTCTGTGTTGAAAAATGCACCTGCTTTGTTCATACATATGTGACACATCTCCTGCATCATGCAAGGATCAGCACTGTGTGACAGGAAAAATAATGTCTTTCTTTACTATGTTTATATGTCAGTCAGTTAGGAGGCTGGTGTCTGAGATCCCAGGTTTAAAAACCAACATGTTTCCAAAGTTTATTCTCATACGAGTAGCATGAAGCAATTGGGGGTATTGTTAATCTTTTAGAATGAGATGGTTGAGTATCACAGGTTCTCCCTTAGAATAATGTCAAGTATCTCGGACATTTTTTGCTCACTCTATGTGCTATACTTATGGCACTATGTGTAAGAGCTGCATGTAGTGCTTATCTTAAGGACAGAACACACTGATCCAATGGAAGGCTTACTCCATGTGGGTGTTGTACACACACGCATTTTGAAAGAGTCATTGGCTCAAAAATATATTTATTATGATATTTTAGATTTGACAAAACATGTTGTTAAAGATTACGAAGGAATAGAAAATCTGATGGAAGAAGGAAACACAAACAGGTAATGGTGATTGAATAACTACTACTATTATTACTACTACTACTACAACTACTAATAATAATAGTCTGTAATAAAAATGATAGCACAACACATTCCTTCTTTAAAGTGTTTTCACAGTTTTTCATAAATTACACATATATTGACTGCATCACTGATTTTAATCAGTCTTGAATAAAAATTTTGATGATTTTTAATTTTATACATCTTGGAATTTGTAACCATCATCATACTGTACACATGAAATAAAGCTCAACATTAGGACAATATGAATTGCCATGTAATTTGGATGAAAGATTTTTTCCTGTGTAAGAAAGGGAAGGAAACCCAAACAGTCTTTGAATGAGAAAAGCTGCTGGGGTTTTTCTCAAAATGCTTGAAAGTAATTGCCTGCTCTGTTCAATGATGATATTAAGGTGTTACCAGCACAGGGCAATTTATTGGTGTGATCAGAGAACTTGTTGATCCTGAATCTTGTTCACATTGCAGGACTGTTGCCTCTACAAACATGAATGATGTCAGTAGTAGATCACATGCAATCTTCACTATTTTATTCACGCAGGTAAGGAAACAAATCAATTGTTGGTTTGATTCCCAGTAGATTAAAATATGATGCTGCAGTTATCAGCCACAGGTACATATTTCATCCTCAGAAGTGGCGACAGTCATTGACATTATTTTGTAGTAATATATTTTATTACGTCATAAATTTCTGTTTCATGTGGTAGTAATGAAAGATGCACATACCTGAGGTCTAGAATTAAAGTTCTGTGAATCAGCAATGTTAGTGCTTTGCTTTAATTTACTTAAGATAAAATTTTCCTTATTACTGATATGTTTTTATAATTATCTTTCAGGCCAAGTTCTATACTGACATGCCCAGTGAAACTGTTAGTAAAATCCACTTAGTTGACTTGGCTGGCAGGTTAGTATCTGTGAAGATCAAATTCATAATTCTCCTTCTCATCTGCTACTTGTTTCCTTGTAAATAGGTTAAGGAAAAATGCTTTTTTATGTAATAAATTTGTCTTTTGTCATAGAGAAACTAATCTTTCTTGTTTGATTGACTGAGTAAAGTAGTAATAATAATACAGTAATAAAACTTTATTTAAACACAATAAATATTTAAAGCTAGAGGCTTGTGGGATTGTGTTACAACAAAATTAATATAATGTATGTAATATTAATAAATAATAATATATATAAATTTATCTAAAAATATAAAAATATATACAACTTCTTTGAAGTGATTACGATGTAATATCTCAGACATAACTAAGCAGTCACTCCTAATCCTACAAACACCAACAAAAACCATTAGTCTATTGATTTCTATTGTCATTGATCAAATTCAGAACAACTGCCCAACAATGTCTGATGATTAAGTCAATCAATCCTAATAGTTACTTTGTTGTTGCAGCGAGAGAGCAAACTCCACTGGTGCTACAGGAAGCAGATTAAAAGAGGGAGCTAACATCAACAAATCTCTTGTTACATTGGGAACTGTTATCTCAGCATTAGGTAATAACTATCCTGGGTAACTGGTGTTGTATTGACTTCTTGGGCAAGATACCTTCATTTAACAGTGCTTCTGTCCATCAAGTGATGATTTGTTTTGTTAAGTGGAAGTTCTGGGTCTTGTATTATTCTTGTAGCTGAAGCAAGTGAGAATTCCATCAGCAAAGATCCCAAGAAGAAACTGTTCATCCCTTACCGCAACTCAGTGTTAACATGGCTACTGAAAGACAGTTTGGGAGGAAATGCCAAGACAATCATGATAGCAGGTTAATATTTTTTTCAGTTATGCCAGTGTTTAACTTGGCAAAAGAGACAAGCTTGTAAATTTTGGTCATGTTTCTCGTCAGAAACAAGCTTTATGTGCAAATCTATTTTGATGATTACTGCTGGTACAAGTTTGCCGATGTTTGATTTTCTTTTTTTTCTTTGCTGTTAAACATTTGATTTAGGAAGAACAAAGATGCTTTTATGCCTTTTACTCCTAAGATCTTATTGTTAGTTCTCCCATCTAACTGCAATACATTTCGTAGGGAATAAATCAAGAGAATGTGGTGTTAAGTTAAGGCAACAACTTCTCTTTGATGTGTTTGAATATTCTCATTACCAGTTAGCTGGACATTTTATGGGCATCAGAGAATCACTTCTGGGAGTTTAAGTGTTATAAATATTAATTTCTCTTTCCTCATAGCCATATCACCAGCGGATGTGAACTATTCAGAGACTCTTAGCACGTTACGTTACGCCAATAGAGCCAAGAACATCATCAATAAACCCACAGTCAATGAGGTTTGTTATTTAACTGAATCAATGATTATGAGTGGAGTTGGCAGGATTTTCAGTGTGTCTGGGGGGTAGGGGTGGGGGATTTCACACCCTAGCATTTTACTGGTTAGTGTGGGTATGCCAGATTGTTTTA